GAATCAATTTTGAAGCACTTTGAGGAAAGGAAAGTGATCAGGGACAATCAGCATGGATTCACCAAGGGCAAGTCATGCCTGACTAACCTAATTGCCTTCTATGATGAGATAACTGGCTCTGTGGATGAGGGGAAAGCAGTGGACGTGTTATTCCTTGACTTTAGCAAATCTTTTGATACGGTCTCCCACAGTATTCTTGACAGCAAGTTAAGGAAGTATGGGCTGGATTAATGGACTATAAGGTGGATAGAAAGCTGGCTAGATCATCGTGCTCAACGGGTAGTGATCAATGGCTGCACGTCTAGTTGGTAGCAGGTATCAAGCGGAGTGCCCCAAGGGTCAGTCCTGGGACTGGTTTTGTTCAATATCTTCATTAATGATCTGGAGGATGGCGTGGACTGCACTCTCGGCAAGTTTGCAGATGACACTAATCTGGGAGGACTGGTAGATACGCTGGAGGGTAGGGAAAGGGACAGAGGAACCTAGACAAATTAGAGGATTGGGCCAAAAGAAATCTGATGAGATTCAACAAGGACAAGTGCAGAGTCCTGCATTTAGGATGGAAGAATCTCATGCACTGCTGCAGACTAGGGACCGAGTGGCTAGGCAGCAATTCTGCAGAAAAGGACCTAGAGGTTACAGTGGACGAGAAGCTGGATATGAGTCAACAGTGTGCCCTTATTGCCAAGAAGGCTAACAGCATTTTGGGTTGTATAAGTAGGAGCATTGCCAGCAGATCGAGGGACGTGATCATTCCCCTCTATTTGGCATTGGTGAGGTCTCATCTGGAGTACTGTGTCCAGTTTTGGGCCCCACGCTACAAGAAGGATGTGGAAAAATTTGAAAGAGTCCAGCAGAAGGCAACAAAAATGATTAGGGGGCTGGAGCACATGACTTATGAGGAGAGGCTGAGGGAACTGGGATTATTTAGTCTGCAGAAGAGAAGAATGAGGGGGGATTTGATAGCTGCTTTCAACTACCTGAAAGGGGGTTCCAAAGAGGATGGATCTAGACTGTTCTCAGTGGAAGCAGATGACAGAACAAGGAGTAATGGTCTCAAGTTGCAGTGGGGGAGGTTTAGGTTGGATATTAGGGAAAAATTTTTCACTAGAAGGGTGGTGAAGCACTGGAATGGGTGACCTAGGGAGGTGGTGGAATCTCCTTCCTTAGAGGTTTTTAAGGTCAGGCTTGACAAAGCCCTGGCTGGGATGATTTAGTTGGGGATTGGTCCTGCTTTGAGCAGGGGGTTGGACTAGATGACCTCCTGAGGTCCCTTCCAAATCTGATATTTTATGATTCTATGACTATACAGGGGAAATTACACAAAGTGAGGCCAAATGCACAAAATAAACTTCCAGCATTTAAATCAATATTTTTTTCCTCTGATCTTTCGGTTATAGTCAACTACACATAGGTGTTACTTTTTTACCTACTGTTGTTACAAGTATCCCAGAGAAACATGGTGTTTATATTGGTGTTGTCCTCTTAGTGTTTTGGATGTTTCCTTACCTCTTTCTCAGATGGTCAGAGTAACAGTTGTTTAAAAACTTGTAAGGTGTCTATTAGTGTTAAGTTGCTTTCTCGTGTCACCTTTCCAGCTTGGACAGAAACCCAGAAGTATAAACTCTACCTCTAAATTTATCCTGCAGTAAATCAGTATCTAGGATGTCCCAGAGCTATCAGATTTATGTGGTCAGTAGTGGTTCTGTTAGTACCATTCCTGCCTCTGTGTCAGAACATTATTGATTACAATCTGTCATCTGGGGGCTGATTCCCCAGTCAGAGGACATGAGTAATTCCCAGTGAAGTCCAGTTTGATGAGTATCTTGCTAGTGTAGTTTTAAATGCCATGATCAGTCTGACCAACCTCTCAGGAATCCACTCAGGCACTTTATAGCTATGGAGTGAAAGGGTTGGGATGAATTGTGATATCGCAAAGTCAATGGGAGTTACTTGTATCCTGTTTGTGGGGAGGAAAAATCATAACCCAGTTTGGGTGTCATATTAAGTGCTGACAGGGCAGGGCAAAGGAGCATCCTTTAAATGGAACATTAGATCTCTCTGGCTACCCAAGTGGAAATTAAAAGGACTGTGGCATCCTCCCGAGAGTCATATGTGGCCACTCAAAATTCTCTTTCACAATAGGTTATGATGTCCAAGGGACATTAAACTACTAGTAAACTCATAATGGCTATCTTACTTCCTTACTCAGTCCTTAATTGCAGGTATCTTAATTCACTGTAAAGTGCTTTGTAGTACCTGGACTATGAAAAGAAAGGTGGGCCTTTCATTACAAGAGAATTCTCATGATTGTTCTGCTTTCTTTCCAGGGTAATTGATGGTCTGGAGACCCTAGATGAGCTGGAGAAGCTCCCGGTGAATGAGAAAACCTACCGACCTCTTAACGATGTTCACATTAAGGATGTCACAATTCATGCCAACCCTTTGGCTTCATAGACATAAAGTGCCTGGACAGATTCCTGAGAAGCTGGTCAGACTGACTGCTAATCATAGTATTGAAGTGACACTAATAAGGTGTCAATTTGGATCAAACCTTTACTGCTTGAATGCAGGATTTTCAGGAGCTGACAGCATCAGGCAGGGTCCAAAGGGGTGCCTCAAACTGGCTCTTCTAGTTCTAGCTATTCCAGACAATCTGCCAAGGCTCTGATTGTGAACTTTTAGTTTACTTTTTGTACATTTAAGATAAAGGGGAAAGAATCTTTTTAAAAATATATTTTTTTCAATCCTTTGTTTTTTGTCTTAATATAACATTAGTTAAAATTAGGGCTGTGGATTAATCGCAGTTAACTCATGCAATTAACTCAAAAATTAATTGTGATTTAAAAAAAATAATTGCAATTAATCAGTTTTAATCACACTGTTAAACACTAGAATACCAACTGAAATGTATTAAATATTTTGGACGTTTTCCTACATTTTCATATATATTGATTTCAATTACAGCACATAATATAGAGTATATTATTTTTATTACAAATATTTGCACTGTAAAAATGATAAACAAAAAATAGTATTTTTAATTCACCTCATACAAGTACTGTAGTGCAATCTCTTTGTGGTGAAAGTGCAACCTGCAAATATAGATTTGTTTGTTTGTTACATAACAGCACTCAAAATCAAAACAATGTAAAACTTTAGAGCCTACAAGTCCAATGAGTCCTACTTCTTGTTCAGCCAATTACTAAGACAAACAAGTTTGTTTACATTTACAGGAGATAATGCTGCTCTCTTCTTATTTACAATGTCACCAGAAAGTGAGAACAGGCATTTGCATGGCACGTTTGTGGCCAGCATTGCAAAGTATTTACATGTCAGATATGCTAAACATTCGTATGTTCTCACTTTTAGGTGACATTGTAAACAAGAAGCAAGCCACATTATCTCCTGCAAATGTAAACACATTTGTTTGTCAGAGTGATTGGCTGAACAAGTAGGACTTATTGGACTTGCATACTCTAAAATTTTACATTGCTTTATTTTTGAATGCAGGTTTTTTTGTAAATAATTCTACATTTGTAAGTTCAACTTTCATGATAAAGAGATTGCACTACAGTACTTGTATTAGGTGAATTGAAAATACTATTTTTTGTTTTTTTACAGTGCAAATACTTGTAATAAAAATAAATATAAAGTGAGCACTGTACACTTTGTATTCTGTGTAAATGAATTCAATGTTTGAAAATGTAGAAAACATCCAAAATATTTAAATAAATGGTATTCTATTATTAACAGTACGATTAATCACAATTAATTTGTTTAATCACGCAATTAATTTGTTTACTCACTTGACATCCCTAGTTAAAATCTTTGACCAAAACGTCATATTGCTAGTCTTCTGAAGCTTTCCCATTAAATCCTAACCTACTGTAACAATTCTTTGGAAAAACTGGTACATTATTTACCTTGCTTCTAGGTGGAACCACTTTCATAGAGCTTTTTGGCTTGTGGGTTAAAGGTTCTGCACAGAGAAGCCCTGCCTTTTATTTCTCCTGCTGTGTTGAAGTCTGCTAACTTCTCCAATCTACCCAACAGGAAGATCATAAATAACTGCTCCTCCCTCCACTATTACCGCTGAAAATTGAAATAACTACTTCAATTGTTAGATGAATACATGCAAGTAACATTTGTTCAATAGAAAATGTATAAGTAGTTTAGCTGACAATTCACAGCCAGTCCAAAAATCAGACTTTAGTCTTGTAATAGGAAAGTGTGACCTGTAATGCATCACCTGGGCCTGTCCTTAGCTAATATATAATAAATCTATGACATCCATTGCAACTGTGTACCAAAGAAGGCATGTCTAGTAGTGGGGCATACCAAGCACTCACTTTCCATCTAAAGTGCAATTACAGCATTCTCTCTCCTCCTGCACAGCCCTTAATACATCTATTACAATACTGGTAGTACTGAACATGATAGTGTGACTTTCTAGTGTACAATCCAGACTAATAAGTCCCTGTGTCACCCTAGCCCTTTAACCTAGGATGCCCTTTACAATGCCTCACTGCTGTAGGCCCCAGCCTGGACTGCTCACTAACAGCCTCCAGCATACAAGTCACTCCCAGCTATGTCAGTGTGCATGCTGCAGCTAGCCAGCCATGACTTGGCTCTTACCAGCTGTGGCTATACTGCAGGGTGACCCCAACACATTCCAAGTCTTAGATTCCTCCTCCCGTGAAATGTATGTCCTATATTGTCCAGGCTTGTCTTGGACAATGCAAGTTTATAAAAAGTCCATTATTTGCTTTTAACAGAACTAATATGCACATAACTTGCTATCCCAAATGGAGTTTCCCAGACACTTCAGGTTACACACACTGGATTAGATAAAACAAATTTATTAACTACACAGAGAGATTTTAAGTGAGTACAAGTAATGAGGCATAAAAGTCAGAAATGGTTACAAGGAAATAAAGTTAAAACGCCACTGGTGCCTACCTGAACACACTATATCTGATGAAAGCAAAATTTCTTACCACATGTTTTCAGCAGTCTTACTGACCAAACTCCTTAGATCAGGACTCCTTCTCCAGTCCAATGTCTACTTCCTTTATTCCTTTGGGTGCTGTGAATTGATGGGCAGAGAGAGACAGGGGATATCTTAGGGTGTCCGTCCTTCCTTTTTATAGTGTCAGTCCCCCTTTTGAAAAACATTTCCAGATGAGATTCAGGAGACAAAGAATCTATAGGGCAGGATGTTCGTTGCTACTTTTTCCTCACCTGTTTGAGTGCCCTTTGTTTCCCTTCCTGTTTGATTACTTTGTTTACTGCTTAAATGCAAATTAAGCAGAGCACACATTCTTTTGATTGAGACAGACCTGTTTGCCAACCTCAGTTTGGAACATGAATTAATAACACATTAAAGTGGAATCTCATGACTTCACATGCAATGTTGCCACACATTTTATCAGGATGATAATGACCAGGAAATTATGAGTTCTTAAATGATTCTATAAGGGTATGCTTTGTGCAAAGATTATTACAACAGGATGTGGGGTGTGGACACAGGTACATTCTGTCACACAGGTAGTATAAATGTTCATGTCTGTGCACAGCTACTGTTCAAGAATACTAGATGACCATGCATTCACTAACTTCCTTTTCCTCCTGTTATTCCACAAGTAATAGGGGCAGAGGGAAGATGGGCCTAGTAGAAATCAGTGTGTTGTGGGATAAGAGCTAAAGTGACCTAGGGCAATGCAATATGATGATGAGCGAAAGGAACTCTCTGACAAGTGAAGCCCAGGAGCTTCCATTTGTAAAGAATGCAGCCTTAAAATGCTTTTGTGCCCCTTCTCTTTCCCCTCCTAAGCCCCTGCTTGAAAGTGAAATAAACTTGCTGATACTATCCTCAGTTCCCACTTGCCAGAATCCCCAAAAGAATCACACTTAATTTGGTACCCTTCAGTCTTTGCTCAGTTGGGACCCAGCACTGAGCCAGATATACTGATGAGTGATTCTTTGAGTTATGTAAAATCTGCTCAGATGCCTCTTTCCATTGTGAAAATTAGTTTTAGGATTAATTAATGTTTGTGGAGTGCTTTGAATATGAAGAGAGAATTCATTAATGGTTAATTTGGGAAATTGGGATTCAAGAGATCTGAGTTCTATTCCCAACCCTGTGACGGACTTGCTCTGTAACCTTAGGCAGATCACTCAATTCCCATGCATCTGTATCCCTCTCAGTAAAATGGGGATAATACAGGTTGAGTTGGAAAGCATTGAGACCCATAAATCAAATGCATTCCCTATGTATCAAAGTATTATTATTTTGTCCCTAAGAACAGACAATACATTTGATGTGTGAGAAAGTATAAGAGGCTTAAAACCAGCCCATTTGCAGGTTGGAAAGGAGGTAATGTGGTAAAATGTGTTTAGATACTCATGCTGCTTTAGAGCTGCTTTTCAGTGCTGAATCTCAATGGGGTGCAGGCTGACCGGAGTGTCTAATGGAGATTTACTTTGATGTGGTCAGTCTCTCATGTAAGGGGTTAGCAATAATAGTTAGAATTTAGACTGTTTCAAAACACCAGAAAACAAAGTAGGAGTCTGCCATTAATCAATTAGTCTATATAAACAAATAATTTAAAGTCAATATCCCAAATGGAAATGGTGAAAGATTCAGCATTTCAGTCCTCTTGTTTGATAGTACAGCAAAGCTGCTTACAATCATTATCTTTGAGGCATGCCATTTAAATATTCCAACACAGGGTGCGGCAGCGGAGTTGGTATACATTCCTGCAATAAAATTAATGGACCAAATTCAGCCCTGATTCAATAGAGCTGCACCCATTTAAATTCAATACAGTTTACACCAGGGTTGAATTGGGCCCACTGTCAATTAACCAAGTCCATCTGCAAATTAATGCTTTAATGCTAATGGAAATAACAAATCCCTAGTTGCACTGGATAGTAAAGCTATATTTATATACAGAAGAAACACAGTTTATGGGGTCAAACTTGTGAGATGGGGAGGCTGTACAGTGAAATTGTGTTGTGCCTGTCCTATGGTGGCTGCTTTCTCACTTCCTGGAGCTTCTGATTCTGCTTATTGATGTTGCCATATATTCCTCATTCCTTTTCACAGCTCAAAGCCTGAGTTATATTTGCTCTGCATTGCTTGTATCTAGGGTTGCCAGGCATCCAGTTTTTGACTGGTATGCCAGGTCGAAAAGGGACCCTGGCGGCTCCCGTCAGCCCCGCCGAGTGGGCTGTTAAAAGTCCAGTCGATGGCACAGCAGGGGCCCGGGGCTAAGACAGGCTCCCTACCTGCCCTGGCTCCGCACTGCTCCTGGAAGCGGCTTCCAGGTCCCTGCGACCCCTAGGCGTTGGGTTGGCCAGGGACTGGGAGGCTCCACACGCTGCCCCCACCCTGAATACCAGCTCCGCAGCTCCCATTGATTGGGAACCGTGACCAATGGGAGCTGCGGGGGGTGGTGTCTGCGGGTGCAAAGACAGCGCACACCGTGCAGAGCTGCCTGGCTGCCCATGTGCCTAGAGGCCGCTTCCTCGGCGCCACGGTAAGCATCGCTGGGACCCCGCACTCCAACCCCCTATCCCAGCCCAGAGCCACCTCCCGCACTGCAAACCCCTCATCTCCCTGGCCCAGCCCGCAGTCCCCTCCTGTATCCCAAACCCCTCATCCCCAGTCCCACCCCCAGCTGGAGCCCTCACTCCCCCACACACACCTGCCCCAGCCCAGAGTTCCGTCCCACACCCCAAACCCCTCATCCCTGGCCCTACCCCAGAGCCCATACCCCCTCCCACACCTCAACCCCCTGCACCAGCCCACTGAAAGTGAGTGGGGGTGCGGAAGAGTAAGTGATGGAGGGAGTGGTGGGCGTGGTCTTCTGAGAAGGGGCGGGGCTTTTGTGGGGCCTCAGAGATGGGGTAGGATAGGGGTGTTGAGTTTTGTGTGATTAGAAAGTTGGCAAATAGCAACCCTACTTGTATCTTCTACTTCTGTCCCTAGTAACCAATGGCAACAGCAAGAGCAGATGAAAGCAACTGATTGCATATTTGCCTGCCATGCTGCCAGCAGGACAGAAGGATGAAAATTTTCCTACGGTGCCAGATGCTATTAACATGAGAAGTGCAGTGCATCATGGCTACCCAGAGCTACAGTAAAACTAAAAAACATATAATGTTCAAATCCAGTATCACAAACTTCATTTCAAACCAAGACATAGTCACCTATCTATCCTTAAAAGCATGTTGTTTGCAGTGTTGTTGCTGCTACAACACTGCATTGCCTCTGTATCTTTTCAAAAGTTGTTTGCAGTGGTGATGTAGCCACGTTGGTCCTAGGCTATTAGAAAGACAAGGTGGGTGAGGTAATATCTTTTATTGGACCAACTTCTGTTGGTGAGAGAGACAAGCTTTTGAGCTACACAGAGCTCTTCTTCAGGTCTTCTGGGAAAGGTTTTCAGAGTATGTCTATATTGCAATAAAAGACCCCTAGCACCTAGTTACAGAGCTGACTTGGGCTTACAAGGGTCGGGCCATGGGGCTAAAAACAGCAGTGTAGGTATTCAGGATTGGACTGGAGCCACGCTCTGAGACACCATTACTCCCTTCCCGCAGGAGTCCAGAGCAGCCGGGGTCCAGCCTGACCCTGAACACATACACTGCAATTTTATAGCCCCACAAGCCACAATCAGCTGACCTGGCCAACCACAGGTCTTTCACTGCCGTGTAGCCATGCCCAGGGTCACAGCTAAATACAAGGTGGGACACACTGTTTAGCATAAGTACTTCACACGTAAATAGTTCATCCCCAGTCGGTGAAGGGGCCTGTTAACTCCTCAGCGGGGGGCTAAGGAGGGACTGAACCCCATTCTCCCGGCCGGCCCACTAGCCCCCTCTCTGGAGGTGTTCCCTGGAGCCACTGGCAGAGAAAGACATCGGCCATGTGGCGGGGCAGCCATAGAAACCGAGAGCCTCCCCCTGACGTCACTAAGCGCACCGCGCAAGTAAAAACAGGCACGAGGACGCGCTTTTCTCCGCGACTTGCGGGCGCGCGCGCCCCCCTCGCTCCCTCCCCGCAGAGCCGCCGAACGGGCCCGCGCATGCGCACCCCTGTGTGACGCGCTTCCCTGCTCCAGAAGGTTCTAGCAGTCGGCGGCACCATTTTGTGTGTAGGGCGGACTCGCAGGCTCAGCACCAGCAGACCCCTGAGGTAGCAGCGGCACCCGCCGGAGCGGTGAGTCGCTGGTTGGCGGTGGGGTAAAGGGGAGTTGGGGGGGCGCTGTCCCCCGCCCGCGTGTGTCTGTGGTGGGGGTGTCGTTTCCTGCCCCAATCTAGCGGGGGACGGGCGGATATCGCCGCCCCGGCCCCTGCTTGAAGCCCGGGGTATTGCCCCCACCTCGGCAGACGTGGGACTGTCGCCGTCATCTGCCCTGCACGGCGGGGGTGGGGGGGCTGCTTGTTCCCTGTGGGTTCGACCCTGATTCCGGCTCATGCAGCCGCCCTACCCCGGGAAGGCTCCGCTGGGGTTGTGGCGGCCGTTAAATGCGTTAATCCGGGTATGAGCCGCCCGCCCCCGCCGCCGCCATGTTCTGTCTGCCTGCGCCGGACGGCGAGAAAATGGCTGCGGCTGGTCCCGTGGGGAGGGGCGCCGGCCGCGGCCTCGCGGGGCCAGGGCATGTGCCTGCCTCGCCCCAAGGGCTTTGGGTCGCGAGTGAGAGACCCGGCTCAAGCTCGTCCTCCCGCCCCAGGACGGGGCTGGGCTGGCTCGGCTGCCTCCCCAGCCCAGGAGGGACGTGGCGGCGCTCGGGGGGCGCAGCAGTGGCCCCCGGTATTCGGGGCGGGGGGAGCTGCAGGTTAGGGACGATGGGCTGCAAACCCGTTGGGGCAGGAGGGACTGGAAGAGGCTTAACACGTGTAGCGAGGTGACCAGCTCGGCCTGCTCCGGCCTCGTTCGTGGGGAGTTACGGGGTGTCTCGGTAAGAAAGCCCGATGCTGAGCGCCCCTGGGAAGGATTAGCTGAAGGTCCCCAGTCGAGAGTGAACGGGAATGTTGTTTTCCCTCCCCTGACTCGTCCGACAATACATTAAAGAGCACTTGAAAGTACAAGGGCAGCAGGATTGCTAGCGTTGCAGGCACTGCAAAATCTCTAGCTGGGGATACAAGGTGTCAGGTTCGTATTTATTGTATTTGTGTGGCAGGAGTGTGTGTTAGGAACTTGAATTGGTTTATGGCTGAAGGGTGGGCTAGGAGAGAAGCTTTGAGTGATTTTTTTTCCATTTCCTACTCTTCCCTCTTTGCAATAAATTAATCAGACTGAGTACATTTAAGTAGTTCACAGTGTATTTTGGTAGAGGCTTGAGAGCTTCTGGTAGGTGTAATAGGAGGAGGAAGGTTTGTAATACTTTCCTCATGGATTGTATTTTCTAAATGTACAACCTACCCTAAATTCTTAATTACTTAGGGACAATCTTCACTCATTGCTATATTTGCTTTCCACAATCAACTAGCTCTCTGTGTAACTTTTCATGAGTGATGTACCAGCATATTCGGATTCTGATATCTAAACTAACCATATTGTTAAATGTATTCACCTAAATTTGGGTTATTGCTAATTATGTACTAATGTATATTATGACTTTTAAAACAAACTTTGTATTTGTGGATAATCTAGGCACTATACCCAGATGTACACTCACTCAAACACTCATTTCTTAAACTGCGTATTATATCTTTTTTTTAATATTAGCTTTAATATTTTTAAATCTGTTAAAAAGTACACTAAGTACGTTGCTAGCTTTTAAAAGCATGTTGGCTGGATGTTGAGGTAAACACTTTTTGCTCAAAAATTGATTTAATGGGGGTGGAATTTGAAGAATGAGTGGTCCCTGCTAGAGTAAGAATATTTGAGTTGATAAAATTTCCTATAAGAGGTTGGTCCATGTCTCTATATAGATACCTTGATTTTATTTTATTTTTTTTAGACAAAAAACACATTTGGGGGTGGAGCAAAAATAATTCTACAAAACCATGAAGTTCACTGGGAAAACAAACTATTTTAATCTCTGTTAGCAGTTTAGATCAGTGTGCTATTTATATTACGTTGTATTGGTAAATTGTAACACTATTTGGGATGTAATTTAAAGGGGGAATTGGCTTGTCTCTGACAGATGCGGCATTCCAAACGAACCGAGTATCCTGATTGGGATGAAAAGGAAAGTTGGGATTCCAGACAGTGCAGCAGCAGCCATAAGAGAAAGAAGAGATCACACAGCAGTGCACGGGAGAACAAGCGCTGCAAACATAATCACTCCAAAGTTTCTGAGAGGTAAATACATTTTGGATTTTTAATCGTGGTAAACTGCTAATCCTTAGTTTTAAGAACTGTTAAGTTTAAATTTCAGTAAGTGCATAAGCAGATCATCTGTTAACTTGTTTTGTTAGTATTTTCTTGATGCAGTATTTTGCAGATATTTCAAGAGTGAAGCCTTCCAGTTAGAATTGTCTTGATGGTTCTACTTGACATAAATTGATGTCAATTAAATTAACTTGTTTTTTATTTCTAGTCATCATTCGGAAGCCAGGTCCATAAATGAAAGAGATCATCATGACCGGCGTTACATTGAAGAATATAGAAGTGATTACAGTCAAGTGTATGAAAATGGGCACCATCACAGAGATCATGAAAATGGTTATCACAACCACAGTAGCAAGTCTTCAGGCCATAGTGGGAGGAGTAGTTATAAAAGAAAACACAAGACATATCACAGTGCCTCACATCATCATTCGCAAATGGTATGAGTAATTTTTAAACTTTTGATTATTTTATTTTAGGAAAATAACTTCTCATCTGAGCAGTAGCAGTCAAGTGTGCGAGTTCGGGATGGTCTTATTGCTAATATTCACAATAGATTATTATTTTTTTCCCCTTGAATGAGAAGTTTCTATATCACACAGATATACTCACTAAACCCTAGAACGTATAATTGTTTCAGATAGAATTCCACTGATGAATGAGTAATAACCACCGATTAATTACCTTTATTTAAAAATTATCTGAAACATAGGTATTGCCCCTCATATATCTTAAAATGCAAGTCTTTATATGTCATGTAAGGTACATATTTCCATCTTGCTCAAAATCCAAACCATTTATGTACAAGCTATTACTTAAATTTGCTTTTGTTAAACTTAGTAACTTTAATGTCTTCGAAATAACAAGGAGACACATATGTGCAGTCTTTTTTTTTTAGCAACTGTTAATTAACAAAATGTCTGATAAACAAGTGCAGTATGGGTTTGAGTATCCGACACGCATGCTGTCTATCCACTGGCAGGGCATGCTGTCTGATCTCTTAATGTAGTTGTGCTTAACTTTAATTGAGAGAACAGTTGAAGACAATATGGTTTATACTTTTATGATAACTCTTTAACTGAAGAAGCTTGGAGTAGATTTATCTTTTTGTGACTTTTTTATTTCTTCTGAAATATTACTCAGAAGAATGTTTAATTCTGATGAATACTGAGATTTGTTTAACTTGGGTATTCTAATTTGGCCACAAGGCTATTTTATATAGACCAGTAAATAATAAATCCTGCTGTTTTACAGCATTAGACTTGCAAATAAGGACACTGCAATCCTAAAATAAATTTCAGTGCTTCAAGTGAACCATTTTTTTTAAAAGAAAAAAACAATTGTGTTGTAATTTTTTGTTGCCACTTTGAGTATCTTATCTGAAAATCTGTTCCTTGCCATGTTTTTCTCCTGTAACATAAACTATGTGCCCTGTGAATTTCTGGGGACTGAATTTGAAATTGCTCCTGCCAACCGTTTGTGGCCTGGCGCGTATCTGAATGCCTGAATATCTCCCCGCTGAATGAATTTCGTATTCTGCCCTGAATTCACTCGGGTTTATTGATTGGCTGGATGATCTTGGTGCCGCCCACATGCCGTTTCCAGAAGAGTCACCGAAGGAAAAGATCCAGGAGTGTAGAGGATGATGAGGAGGGTCACCTGATCTGTCAGAGTGGAGACGTACTAAGTGCAAGATGTATAGAATATTTTTCAAAATTTATTAACTTTTCAGATAGAATAATTTCTTTTAGAATAAGATGTCAGGGGCTTTGGAAGTATTTTCTTTCTTTCTCGATTTTATTTCATTTTTATTTTTTTTTATTTTTTTTTTATTTTGTGGGGGGGATTGTTTTTCTTTCTCTAGAAATTAAACATTGATACTCATTTTCCAAAATAGTAAATGAAGTTAATGAAATTTGGAATGACATAGCTATAACTGTTTTGATGAGTTGTTCAATAGAATAAATATTCTAGCTTAGAGATGTTTAGTTACACTTTTATAGAGGCACAGCCTAGATTAATCTGCATTGATAGAATTTAGTTTTGTGAATAACTAATTAGACTATCACTACTTCTTTGATTGAGATTTTTTTTCTCTTTTAGATGAAATTATTGCTACTCTGGGCGAAGGTGCTTTTGGAAAAGTTGTGGAGTGCATAGATCACAAGGCGTAAGTCATTTTTTCTTATAAATGTAACTTTCTTGTCCATGCCAGCCTGGCCTAGTTTACAAAATGGTTTCGCATTTGTAGTAAATATGTATTCAAATTTTATTTGGCCCTTTAAATTTGTTGTTTTTCGGGTTAGTTATTTCTTGACTGTCTTTGTACTAATTGCTTTTCTATTTATATATAATGGCACTGATACAGGGAAACTACAGTTCAACTGTCACCAGTTAGAGGATCAAATTATGCTACAGCTGTCTGTACTTGACTTCCATTATGAGTCATTGAGAGTTGCTCATGTGCATATCTGAGTATCTCTCCTATCTACAGAACAATAAATAGCATGATTTAAAAGTTTACTCTATCACACAGTTGCAAGGTTACTGTTTATGAAGGTGCAGTCAGATTTAATATTTGGATTACCTGTATATAATAAGCACTTGCTAAATCAAGAATACATAAATTTGCATCCAATTAATGGACTGCATAATTGACAGGCAATAGCACCTGTTTATATCTGATTATTGTGTAATCCAGTCTACAGTCTTAACGGTTACATAATTCATTTGCAAATATCTCACTTCAGAATGTAATTTTTTACCCACTTATGACATTGGATTTACAGTTCTTTTCAATGTCTGACTATCCCAAGTTTTAAGATGGCTGACAGACACCACATCTTAGTATATCAAACTTTTATCCAACACTAACATGGGACAGAGAGAGAGCTGTATATAGTCTGTAACTTGCTATCATGTTGAACCCACATGACTGTTTTAGTACATAACAAAGACTATAAAAATAAAGTGGTAGGATAAAATCAAACTAACATAGGTGCAACATAATTTATGATTGGGCATATTTAACACATTACAATGAAAATTAGCAGTGGGGAAAAATTAAGTTTTGTGTCTGAATGTATGAAATTTAACATGAATTTAGTTTTAAGGATGAAAAGCACTATTTTTAAAAACATTATTTATGATCATTTGCTAGTTAACTGGGAGTTTTGCAGTTGAATTCTGCTGTAAAGGAAACTTATGGGGGGTGTTATGGTATGCTGTAATTATAGTTCTGCAGTTGTCTATAACGATTCAAAAACTTTATTTTACAGGGAAGGTAGACACGTAGCAGTGAAAATAGTAAAAAATGTTGATAGATATTGTGAAGCAGCTCGTTCAGAAATACAGGTATTGGAGCATTTAAATGCATCAGATCCCAAGAACACATTGTAAGTATAGAATTAGAATGGAAAATATTTTGGTTTTAGGATTTCTTCATTCCTTTGACTCCTTTCTAAAATTCCTCTGACTCTCTTTAAACCATAATTGTAATTTTAGTATTACACTGTACTGCCTAAATAATCCAGTAATTTTATTCTTGTAATTCCTTTGTCTCCCATGTTTATTATCTTCCCCAGTGTCCTATCTCATTATTAATCTAGATTTTAAACCCTTCAGAGTAGGGGACCATGTTTTTACTTGCTATTTAATTATGTATACTTCTGGTCCTCTACAAAATTATTTCTATTTGTGTAAACTCTACTGACTAGTTTACAGTTGCTGGGTGAAATGCACCTCTGACACCCCTTCTGATCCCCCTCCCTGGCCTGTAGTAAGCACTATCTGGCTCAGAGTGGAATCACATGATTCTCACAGACTCAGACCAGGTCTTTTGTAGCAGCCCCCCCGGTACTAACCATGATTGCCTCAGCGGATCTGTTTTTTTTATGCTTAGACCAGGGGTGGGCAAACTATGGCCCGCCAGCCATTTTAATCCAGCCCTCTGACTCCCACTGGGGAGTGGAGGCTGGGGCTTTCCCCGCTGCAGCTCAGGGCCACTTCACGTGGCTCCTGGAAGCAGTGGCATGGCCCCCCCCTCCAGCTCCTATGCGTAGGGGCAGCCAGGGGGCTCCGCTCTGCATTCTGCCCTCCTCAGCTCCCATTGACCAGTGGGAGCTGCAGGGGCGGTACCTGCGGACGGGGCAGTGTGCAGAGTCACCTGGCGGCGCTGCCACGTAGGAGACGGAGAAGGGACATGCCGCTTCTTCTGGGAGCCGCTTAAGGTAAGCACTGCCCAGAGCCCGCACCCTTGAGCCTCCCCCCCCTGCATCCCAACTCTCCGCCCCAGCCCTGATCCCACTCCTGCACCCCAACCCCAATTTTGTGACAATTCATGGCCTGCCATACAATTTCGATTCCCAGATGTGGCTCTCGGGCCACAAAATTTGCCGACCCCGGCTTAGACCCTGGAGTTCTGTTCTCACTCATTTGCAGCCCCCCAGGAGGACTCAGACCCCTGGGCTATGTCACTTTCAACTGGAGCTTAGAAGTGTGCAGTTGGCTTGTGGTTGTCCCTGTTAGCTGGGAGGTTGCTTATCTGGAATTGTTGTGTTGCCTTCTCCTTAGTTCTTCTAGCTCCCAGTTAAGCTAGAACAGTACATTCATACAGGAAAATCTTACTATATACTGGGATTATAACTCCATACTCACTGTTCAGGTCAAATACAGCCATTTATGAACACAGTATCAGCATTTATAACACTTGCATATCTGCTGTATATCTATTACAGTACATTTTACTAGGTGTCTTTTTTTGTTTTACAGTCGCTGTGTACAGATGTTGGAATGGTTTGAACATCATGGTCATGTTTGCATTGTTTTTGAACTACTGGGACTTAGTACCTACGACTTTATCAAAGAGAATAGTTTTTTGCCTTTTCGGCTTGACCACATTAGGAAGATGGCATATCAGATTTGCAAATCTGTAAACTGTAAGTATGTTTAATATTTTTCAGTTGTTGAAATTACTATTTTTTAAATGGTTTGATAACTTTCATTTTCTCTTGCAGTTTTACACTTGAACAAATTGACTCATACAGATCTGAAGCCTGAAAATATTTTATTTGTGAAGTCTGACTATGTAGAAGAGTATAACCCCAAACTGGTAAATCTACAGTTTCAAATTGATCTCGCTACAACATATTTTTCGGGCTTATTCTGTTCATATATTTAATGGTGTATATTTCATTTTAGAAACGTGATGAACGGACACTAAAAAATCCAGACATCAAACTTGTGGACTTTGGAAGTGCAACATATGACGACGAACATCACAGTACACTGGTGTCTACAAGACATTACAGAGCTCCAGAAGTTATTTTAGGTCAGAAAACACTTTAACTTCAAACCAGCTTATTTGGAAATATTGTATTATACTTTAATTTCTACTTGTCTGCAGTGCTTATTAATTCTGAAGCACCTTTTTGTCACATTATTGCCCTAAGTAGTGATTCTGATATGCAGCATTTTTTTGAGGTCAGTTTGCATTTTCAAACCAAGGTACTTGCTTTTTCTAGAGTTGGTGTTGTTTACAATATGATAGTTAACATTTTGGCAAACTTACACTGGATTTCTATTCCGCATGCCATTTACTTGCTAGAAAGAGAACTGTTTTCAGTTGCCATCATAGTATAATGGATATAAAGTTGTTTAATTTATTAATCTGTCTACATCATCACTTGGGAGTAGATTAACTGCTTAATATCACTTAAAATGGGTATTGCTCTTGGGTATGAACCATGCATGTTTCTTCTTCTTGACAGCCCTGGGATGGTCACAGCCTTGTGATGTTTGGAGCATAGGCTGTATTCTCATAGAGTATTACCTTGGATTCACAGTATTTCCGGTAGGTAACTATGAAAATTCTTTATATGCAGAGTGAGGGGGAGAGAATGGGGGAAATACTTTTCTATAGACATTCTGATGGTTGGAAACAATTTGTCCTTTTGTTTTGTAATGGGAATATGAAGAGAAATAACAGCGGCACAGATATGACCCCTGTTCACTGTGAAGCTTCTCCGTGCCTATGTAGGCACATTATAGTATACCACCAACATAGTTATTGATACATAGCAGTAAATATTTTGCTACTTCAAAAAAATCCCCAAAACTAGCTTGTTCTCACTGTATGTTACTTACGGATCAGAAAAGTTGTCTTGTCTTCAGCAAATAGATTCAAGATCCTAAATCAGTAACTAAAATATGTAGCTTTAAAACTGAAAACGAGTAAAACTGTTTGTGGTCTCTTTAATTTCCAGTCCCAGAGTTGATAGAATATCAGGGTTGGAAGGGTCCTAAGGAGGTCATCTAGTCCAAGTCCCTGCTCAAAGCAGGATTAATCCCTAAGCAGATTTTTGCCCCCCAAGGATTGAACACACAAGCCTGCGTTTAGCAGGCCAATACTCAAACCACTGAGCTAGCCCTCCCCTGGTTCTAAGTACACTGCTTAGAGAGGTCCAAGTCTTAGCAGGTATAAAGTTTTACTGAGGCACTGCCAAGGAGCAATGCATCTATTTCAACTGTGAGCTTTATTTTAATGATTTTGAAGCAAGCTATGTTTAAAATGAAATGTGTTTAGAAATGGCCCAAAAAAGGCCAGTCTCGTGGCTTTGCTTGTAGTAGGAACAAGATGTTATGGAGAGAAGGTAGCTTTTAAAAATAAAGCTTTAATACTTCAGCCTTGCTTCAAAGTGTGTTTAATATCAGAGATGGGTGGGATTCTGAATGTTTGTTTAAGTTTAGATAAAAACATAGCTTCTATTAAAACAGCCCACCACCATCTCAAATTCTAGTACTGAAGGCTGATAGTGGTATTTTTGAACTTAATCTGCTAATGTGAGGGAAGTGTTATGATAACATTTAGCTGTAAATGATTTGTGGAAGTTGACACCTACAAATAAGCTTCTGATCAGTGAAAACCCAGAATGTACAGTTATCAAAATAGGAATCAGAAAACTTTACAATTGTATGTGGATTAATATACTAAATGTTTTTTCTGCTGTTAACTTGGGAGGAAAAAACACCTTAACATCTCTTGGTGAATTACCATCCCCTAATCTGTTTAAAAGTTCAACGCTCTTACTCTTTTATTTTAGACACATGATAGTAAAGAGCATTTGGCAATGATGGAGAGAATACTGGGGCCTTTACCAATTCACATGATAGAGAAAACCAGGTAATTAATTTATACTTAAACCTTTCTTCTTTCTGTAATATGTTTTGGTTTAAAATCAGATTTCATCTGAAGTTCCAGTCCATGTATTGATTAATCTAGATAGTTTAGTAAAGCAGAGAACAGCACTGTTTGGCTTTATTAGGATTGGGGAAAATGCATACAAGTGTCTGAGGGGCACAGATACCTCAGGACCTTGTAATTACTTACATATGTCTAGCCTCTTACAAAAGGATTAGTTTTCTTTATAGATGCCTGAGTTTATGGTCATATTACTGTTCCAGAACATTGGTTTGTGATTGCTTCAAACAATTCTTACTCTACAGGAAGCGCAAGTATTTCCACCATAACCAATTGGACTGGGATGAACATAGTTCTGCAGGTAGATATGTTTCAAGACGTTGTAAACCACTCAAGGTAAGAGTTGATAAGAGTTGACTTCTTCCCACAAAGAAAAATTGTTAAGTTTCTCAACTGACTTTTCCTCCCTTCCCCTTCCAGGAGTTCATGCTTTGTCAAGATTTGGACCATGAGAATCTGTTTGACCTCATTCAAAAAATGTTGGAGTATGACCCAGCCAAAAGAATTACTCTTCAGGAGGCCTTGACCCACCCTTTCTTTTCTGCTCTAAAGCAGGAAAATAAGTAAAATCTACACTTATATAGTTCTCCAGAGCAGATTATAGACTGTGTCAGTCAACAAAAGTATTTATTTTGTACAGTTAGCTTTGTAAATGTCATTTTGTATCATGACCATGTTTCTTATTTGAACACTTAAGTGTATTTCAATAAAGCTTCTTGAAATGGCTTCTATGCAGCCAAAGTGGTTCTTGACTGCCTGTGTTTTCTCTATGGTCAAGTACTTTGAGTTTGAATACACTAATAAACCTTCATCTACACAGGGAAGGTGCTAGTTTAAGCATTAATGTAGTTTTACCAGCTGTATAGTGATGAGCCCTTAAACCAATTCTTTGTGCAAGAGCAAGGAAGACTCATGAGTTAGAAGGTACAAAAAAAATCAGAATAAACTTCAGTTAACAAAAGCTGGCATAATAAATATTAATATGAGCAGGTAAGGTAGGTAGACTAATACATCTAACACCTCCTGTAAACTAATCTAGCTTCACTATTATGCTGAGGAAGCTGTACCTCTAGTAATTAGCATATTTCATTTTAGAGGGTGAAGCTAGACAAAGGTTCCTGGACTCTAATTAGAGTGCAATATCTGAAGATTCAGGTTTGAATGACTTTTTGTAAAACAAGGTTTACACCACAGCACAAGCCAGCTTGGTTTTGGCAAAACAAAAAAACCCCTAAGTGTAAGGATGGACTTTATTTAAAAAAAAGTCTTTAGAAGACAAGTTACAAAGGAAGCAGATCACTACAGTAGAAACCTATTGAATACATTTTTGTGCACCAAAGTTCTACCAAGATCACTCATTTAACAAATACTTCATTCACAAGGGGATCAGTTAGTATTCTTTTCATTGTTATGACAACATTACTCCAAAATGGATTTTCAACATTAACAAAGGTCTCTCCCTATTCTTGATTCAACAAGGATGTCCTGAGAAAGTGATGACATTTCAGTGTTTAGCATAGTTTTTTTTTTTTAAACTCTGGCAGCATTTAGCATTAGTAAGCCTATTGCCACAAGATGACTGTGCACACTCTCTTAATCCTACCTTCTAATGGCCATGCATTTAACATTATAGAAGAGCTAAGGGAAAGGGGTTTGGGTTGAGGTGAAGCAAAAATCATAAGCAGTGGAACACCCTGAGCAGTAGGCACCTTAAATGACAGTTAAAACTAACCAACCCAGTACCACTACATTATTGCACTCCACTGAATTAGCAGTTTACCATTAGTAGAAAATTACAATTGTCAGCTACACTTTGACCTTTTGGTCTACCCCTTTACTCTTAGATGTTAATCATTCAATTTGATAGTGAGTTCTAGTCCATTGATCCATAACCAATAAGAATACATGGCATTAAAACTTTCAAGGGCAAGTTTAATAGTCTTAAACATACATAAGGCATGTGATAGCCAGTAGGCTCAGAATGCCTGCTTCCTTTGCTTGGTGAGGGGAAAAAAAATTTTACTACAGAATTTCACCCACCAGGTCACTCAAATGGCAAAAATCAGGGCTAAACATTGTGCAGAAACAACAAATTTAAATTTAGGCTCTTTTGGCAGCCCTCAAGTATTGGCTAGACTGTTGTTTAGAGTATTACTTTGAGAATACATACCTGTATAAGTCAGTGCTTGTGAAATCAAGAGACTTGCATGGAGAAGTTATTTCCATTAATGTGGACTTTCTATACCAGTTAGTACAATTTATCATGTTTCATGCCAAATCACACCCTCCCCCTCCATGGCTTTTTGAGTTGATACTTGTATGGTTTAATCTGCAAACAGAATTTCCATAACAAATCTCATTTACCAAATCATGACTGCTTGTAAATGTTTATATAGAAAACCCAAGATAAAATGATTTTTGTGGAAGGCCTTAAGTTACATTATTACAGTAGAAATTACAGGAGGTAGAATATAACTGAAAGGACTAATGCAATGTTAGTCAAATCTATAGCTCCTGTAAGCTACTTAAAACATGGTTTTAAAAACTAAAACCAGCATCTTCAATAACTATAGAAAACAGTTAAAATAAATTTGCCATGAGAGCCCTTGTATCATGCTTGATACAGGGAGGTAGGATGTAAGAACCAAAAGGACACACAAGACATGACATTTATCTACAGCTCCTGTTTGCTTTACTGAGGACAGTTTCACAAGTCAGTCACCTTCTTCAGTTTCTGACTCAGACTCTGAAAAGAAAAAAATTTAATTAGGAGATGGGACTGTGCAACATAAATGTGAACATTATCATTACTTCTAAAACAAACCTATAATACAACACAGCTGGACACTGCCAGCTCAGCCTAAAAACCCTGTACTTTGTACTTCAACTCCATAGAGTCAAAGCTACAGTAAACTTTAGCATGACAATAGTACTTTTGGGACAACTACTCTACAGTCATTTAGGTAAGAGTTAAAGATTATACACAAATCAGCAAGAGTCTGGTGAATTTAAATGCAGTACAAGGAGTTAGTATTAAACCGACTTGACTTTCACCTAGAGGAGCCCCCAATAGATAGGCCAATGAGATTAGGCTCAAGACTTACCAAGGCAGCCACTGTTTACTAACTAGGCTGTTTAATTTATGCTATCTGAGCTTTTAAATGGTAGCTAGCAGTTTCAAGACAGCCACCATGTTGTGGAAGTTTTACACAGGGTTGGGGTCAGATTCTGTTGCCTACATCCAATCTTCCCAGTTGGAAAGCAATCAGGAAGAACAAAGCTTAATGAAAGACTATCCACCCTGCTTTGTTAAAAGCTTATCATTAAGGAACTTCTACCCCACAATTTCAAAATTAAGTATCAGGCAGTCTACACTAGCACTTTTGTCAGGCAAGTGGGGGGGGAACCCCTCCCTGACCAGCGTAAGTTTCACCAACAAAAGCACTGGTGTGAACAGTACTATGTCAGCAGGAGATGCTCTCCCCACAATAGAGCCACTGCCACTCATTGGGGATGGTTTAATTAGCTGGCAGGAGGCACAGAGAGGCTACACAGGGAGACATCACAGTGGTGCAGACAAGAGGAGACGCACTATCTATACCAGGGAGTTTAGTGTTCAACTACAAAACCCATTCTCATTGTTTAACTTCAAACTAAAGTTTCATGGTAATTGTTTAGTTACCTTCTTCAGCATTCTTGAGCCATTCCACGAACTTTTTCATTTGTTCCAGAAAAACACTCTTTCCTTTTGCAAGGTGTGCATCTTTATACCATTTCAAGATGGGTTCTTCACTCAGAACTTCAGCTGTTTAAGACATGCCAAGGCAGAGTTATTGTGGAAGTAGTCTGTGCCAACATACTGCTTTGAGGGCTAGCTTATTAGGTTCTCCCAGCCACCCCTTATTGGCAGCCATGTCCCATGGTCACCCTTCACTGCTCTTCCCCAATATATTCATTCCCTTGAGACTCCCCATTCTACACATTACTAGGAACAAGATAGTTTAAACTGAGTACTCATTTGTGGAGTTTGACAGGCATGTCTGTGGTATACACCAAAGTCACCATTTGTTAACATTAAAGGTGACAGAGGAAATAAAGTTTTTTTCTGAAAGAGATGCAGTAGGTGGTGAGTGAAGTCTGTATTTGACAGTCATGTGACTAGTCAGTTGCTCTTGTTTGTCATGCTAACAACTTGAGACTATATTGGAGACCAAGTTTCAAGATTTATATTTAGGGAAAATTGCATCCTTAAAGCAGTCTCCTCTGAGACTAGAACTTAGCCAGTAAACAGTTAAGTTCCCACAAAAGGAACTGACTCCATATCCTACCTGTTTTTGTTTATCTACTCCCAGAAAGTAGACAGTTTGTCATCCATATGTTACTGGTTTGTGAAGTGGGTAAGAAAGATCTATAGCAGCCCTGTCCCTGGAGTGCCATCATGCAGCCATATGGCAAAGATGAAGTAGAAAACCATTTTGTCTTAGTGCAGAGTGAGCAAACTTATGGAAAGAGACAGATGGTGATGCTTGTAAACAGTACAGAAACCAGAAGAGGTTCTGGCTGGCTAATCTGTACAGCTTTTGCCAGAAAACTGGCTCAAGTTTCTTTTCCCCATACACCAGTATATGTTTTTGCTATTAATAGATGGAAAACCTTAAGTTATCTTTGTATAGAAGCGAGACTGATCTGATTAGTAGCCATGGTGCATTCTTGCCCAGACTCCAGCCAAAGAGGAGTAGTTGACATTAAAACTCCCCTCGCTAACTACATCAGAGATAGAGGCCCTTGCTCATCACTGCAGTTTAGCAATTTACCTCAATTGACAAAGATATCGTGGTTTGTACAGATGGGCATGCAAGCACCAGAATTTCAGCTACCAATTAACTGACTGCAGAGAATCTTGACAATTTCGTTTGCCACAGGTCAGAAATTAGCTTTTCAGAGCTCCAAGTTAAGAACTGGAAGTCATTGCAAACAGTTACATTCTGCAGCCTTAATGCTTTAGTTACCTTTATAAAAGAGCACCACTATTTTCTGGAAGGCTTTCATGAAGTGAATGTTGTCATAACAGTACTCCTGAATCTTCAGTAACAGAGTCAGCTCAGATTGACCTTGGGTAGTAAAGGCAGCAAGCAGAGGGCTGTATTGCTGTAAAGAGTACAAGAGATTAGATAGTGACTTACACATGGCTAGAAGTATATATTTCAGAGGGCATAGAAATTGTGAAAATACCTCCAAATGGATTTTAACTAGATTCCCCCCCACCTTAGAGAAAAATTTTTGGGGGATATATTTAAAACAAGAGTTACCTTACTCAATTTCAAGGACAAAGAATTTTACAAGTAACATTACTTATGTTACTTTCAAGGATTCATTCCATCCTTGAGATAGTCTAGGTTTAACTGTAAAATTAATTCTCTGCAAAAACACTGACATTTGATATTTTGCCATTTACAGTTTTTAATTTTCTGAAAAAAGTTGCCATTTACACAAGAAACTAGTTAGTTATACTTCATAAAAGTTTAATCACCTGATTAAGGTGCAAACCATATCCTGGCTTGGCAGAATTTAATTTTTTAAAATATAATTTCAACAGGTAATACTGATTTTAAGCTGTTTTTGTCAATATAAATTCAGTTGTGGGTAAGTATGGGGGTCAGAATTACTTAATGACAAATTAAAAAATTAAACCAGTAAGGCACGAGTTATCAACATCACATCAAAATATACAAAGTAAATCAAACCAGACTAAGACCTCAAATTTTTCTTACTTTGCCTCTCTAAATGTAGATTGGTACTGATGGAAACATTTCAGTTTGAGATGAATGTGAAATGGATGCTTACCAAGATTTACTGGATGATAGTCTAATCCTTTCCAAGCCAATAATAAAGTGCCACATATTTAAGAATAGTGGCTGAAAACCAACTAGTGTTTTAGTACAAACTAGTTACCTGCAGGAACCATCTCTTCCCCCCCATCATTGAGTAGCATCTCATTTGTATTTCTAGAGCATCTGGAGTCCTCAAGCAAGATTGAGTCCCCATTTTGCTAGGTGATGTACAAAGTTAGGCCCTGTCTACTCTAGAATGCTGAACTACTTTAACTACACCAATAATACACAATCAACTCTGGTTT